AACCCTTGAAAAAATTGGTCAGTATTATTATAGAAATATTTACTGTCAATATCTCCTAATATTTTTCTCACCATTCATTCTTCTACATCTCACATCTCCTTTCTTGATTCATTTTCCTTCTTGCTGAAGTACATCTCTGAGTAGCTCTTTCCTGAGGATCTGTGAGAGGTAAACTCCATTTCACTTTTTGTATGTCTAAAAACATCTTTATTTTGTACTCTTTTTTTTTTTTTTAAGAGATAGGGTCTCACTCTGTCACCCAGTCCGGACTGCAGTGGAGCTATTGTAGTTCACTGTAGCCTCCAACTCCTAGGCTCAAGCAATCCTCCTGCCTCAGCTTCCCGAGTAGCTGGGACTACAGCTGCACGCCACCACGCCTAGCTAATTTTAAAAAATTTTTTGTAGAGATGGGGTCTCACTATGTTGCTCAGGCTGGTCTTGAACTCCTAACCTCAAGCAATCCTCCCACCTTGGCCTCTGAAAGTGCTAGGATTACAGGCATGAGCCACTGCATCCAGCATACACTCACTCTTGAGGGAGTCTTGCATGCCAGCCTGTGGTGGCATCCCCATAGAGAGGTTTTAGTTTTGTCTCTGTTGGAATCCTATGGGTTTCTCACTTTTGGTCTAGTTTTCATGTCAATCTTTCTACTTGGGATTCCCATACCACACTTGTGGTACAACTTGAATCCCACACTTGCATGTGACGTAGAGTTGGGATTCAGATTTCTCTTGAGTTATGCTTTTTTCACCTGTAGCCTGGGGCACTTGGCCAGCTTTCTTTCAACTTAATCAGCAGCAAATCTTTTAGATCCTATTTCAAAAACAGGTCAGCCCTTTGAGGGCCCAGCTTTATGCATTGTTCTCAGTTCTAGGAGTGGAACACTCTGAAGGTCTGTATCTGGGGCCAATACTCCTATAGACCTTTGGGCTTAGCTCAGCATATGGACCAGAAGTTATAGTCATCTTTCTAAAACTTGATAGGATCCTATTACTCTCTCACTTAGTTTGTGTGGACTTTTTAGCACTGCTTCATTTATTCATCCAACAGATGTTTGTTGTGCGTAATCTCTGTGCTAAGAACTAGGGTTACTGTGGTGAGAAAGATATAAAGTCTTTGCCCTCATAGAGTTTACTATTCTAATCGGAGAAACAGAAAATAAACTTATAAACAAATAAATAAAATGCTAACTACAATGTGTGAAAAATACTCTGAAGGAAATAAAGTGATGGAGAGTAACTGTTTTGGGGGTTACCTTCGGTAGGGCAGTCAGGGAAGGTGTCATTTAAGCCGAAATCTCATCAAGGGATGAGAACAGCCAGCCCTGCAGATAGTAGGCGGCTTGCTTGGGGTTGGAGGTTAGTTCCAGGCAGTGGAAACAGAAAGTACAAAGACCCAGAAACAGGTAAGCACTTGACATGGTAGAGTTACCAAGGTGACGCCCGTGCAGCTCTAATGAGGGAGGCCTGCTCCCCGGTCAGGTCAGAGAGGCAGGCGGGCACCCGGTCTTATCTGCTGCCTCCCCTCTACTCTGTCATCTTGCCACACTGATTCTTTCCTAATGCGCCTGTGCAAAGCACCTCCTTCGTGAAGCCCTTCTCACTAGCGCAGTTCCCTCTGCACTTTGCTTCTACTCCTAATCAGAATGGAATACGGATAATTGTTTACATGACAGTGTTCTCCAACAGACCTTAAGCTCTGTCGGGAGATATGTCTTATTTACCTTCATCATCCCAGCTTGTAGCACAGTGCTTTTGCTTTCCATGGCAGGCACATCATAAATGTTGATTGAGTAAGTGTAATTTCCTTTTTAGCTGTTCATGCTTAGAGTCTCCTTTGTAATAACTTTATAACAGACCTTCTCATAATATTTTCATGGTATTTAAACCATCAGAGTAAAGAACACCAGCATCCCAGGGAGGAATCTATCTGCTTAAGACATCTCTGATACGTAAAGAGAAAAGCAGGGGAGGTACCACACTGTAGTCTGGTGTTTACCCCGTAGTGGTTGAATGGTGCCCCTCCCCAAAGATGTGTCTACATCCTAACCCCTGGGATATGTGAACTTTACCTTGTTTGGCAAAAGGGTCTTTGCAGATGTAATTAAGGATCTCAAGATAAGATCATTCTAGATTATTTGGATGGACTCTAAATCCACTGACAAGTACCCTTGTAGGAGACAGAGAAGAAGACAGAGACACAGGAGAATGCCAGGGGAAGGTGGAGGCAGAGATTGGAATTGTATGTCACAAGCCAAGGAACACCTGGAGCCACTAGAAGCTGGAAGACTTAAGGAAGGATCCTCTTAGAGGGGGAGTGGCCCTGAAGACACCTTGATTTTAGACTTCTGGCCTCTCCAACTGTGAGAGAATAAATTTCTGTTGTTATGAGCTACGAATTAGGCAACTAATACATACCCCATGCAGTTACACCTCACTCACCCATTCTGTAGCATGAATATAATAATACTTCCCTCAGAAGCTTATTGCCATGATTAAATGAGATATGTTTGTAAAGTACTTAGCACATAGTGAATGTTCAAAAATAGTGATGGCTGTTCTTGTTCTTTAAGGACTGGGAGTTTTCTTTCTCCTATGAGTAAGAGTTCGACAAGAGAGTGGGAACTTTCTGTCTTGTGATCGATTGCCTGGTGAGTCAAAGCTCCTACCGTGGATTTAACCTGAGAGCTGCTCATTTGGCCCTGGAGCTCCGAGGCCGTGGAGTCCTCTAGCAGTCCTTAGTTAGGGCTTGGTGTCGAGGGAGAGCTCAGCTTTCTACCACGGGCTGGGGGAAGAAGTCAAGCTAGAACTCAGGTACTAAATTTGAAATGACACACTCAGAGCAGAAAGCAACCTCTTAGTCCCTGTCAAAAAGAGAGGCTTTGGGTTCTAAATTTCTAGTTCCCATTAAGAGACTCTGGGACTGGACATTTCTGGAAATTAATGGCCTGTACTGAGTAATCCTCCTAACACACCGATCATCAAAAAATTCCCTGTAATGAGTGCTGGCTTTCTGTATTTGTCTGAACGCCTTCATACAACCTGGGAGCGTGCACAGGAAGGCAGCGGCGGGAGCACGGGGGACGCTTGACCGTGCAGCTCACGGGGCGGCAGGACTGCTGCTGCCTCCGCCCAGGATGGCTGGCACTGTGCTCGGAGTGGGTGCAGGCGTGTTCATCCTAGCCCTGCTCTGGGTGTCGGTGCTGCTGCTGTGTGTGCTGTTATCCAGAGCCTCCAGGATGGCTAGGTAAGGCCTGCTTCCAGCTGGGAGTCCTAGGTAAAAGCAATTAGAGCTAAAATCGCTGATGCTCATTAAACATTTAGAATTCAGGAGATCATTTTTGTAATTACTGGCAGTTTGAATGAGTTGCATTTTAACCTCTTATCTCTGAAGCAGAGGTGGGAGGAGAGGGAAGTGGTATTTTTCAGTTCTCACTGTGGAGAGATGGGGGGACATAAGAGATGACAAGAAAATCTGCTTTTGCTGCCTATTGAATTTCTTGGGGTTGTACGTGTATGTGTTTCTTTTTTTTTTTTGAGACAGAGTCTCACTTTGTTGCCCGGGCTAGAGTGCCGTGGCGTCAGCCTAGTTCACAGCAACCTCAGACTCCTGGGCTCAAGCGATCCTTCTGCCTCAGCCTCCCGAGTAGCTGGGACTACAGGCATGCGCCACCATGCCCGGCTAATTTTTTCTATATATTTTTAGTTGTCTGGCTAATTTCTTTCTATTTTTAGTAGAGACGGGGTCTCTTGCTCAGGCTGGTCTCGAACTCCTGACCTTGAGCGATCCACCCGCCTCGGCCTCCCAGAGTGCTAGGATTTACAGGTGTGAGCCACCGCACCCAGCCTGTGTTTCTTAATTGTTCAGATTTATGGTAGATGCTGGGTCTAGTCCCTGAGGCTTTAGACCTGGGCCCAGGGAAACTAAAGAAGCATTTGTTGAGTCGGACCGGCTCTCTACGTCAGGCGTTGACTTCAGAACAGGGTTAGGCCACAAACTGACCCTGAAAACTCTGCAGAGTTGCACTCTGGTGAGAGAGTATCAGTCCAAAGCAGAGAGTTACAGAATTTCCTAAAGTATTCTGGTCTAAGAACAACAGAAACAGGGGTTTAGGGAGGAGCTGCTTTGGTTTTTCTTGGTTATGACTTTGTACACATGGAAAAATAAAAACTACAAATTCCCATTCTTAGGAATTTGGAATTACCAGGAGTAAATGGAAATGCACCCAGCTTGTCCCTGCCAAGGAAGAAGGGCTGTGGACAGCAGTACTCTGGACATTGTTAAGGGGCTGAAACATAGAATATTCGTCTCAAGGAAGAGCCAGTTCAGGCCTAACTGATTAGAGAAGAAACTGCAAACAGTGCTTTTAATACTCTGTCTTTTTGACCCCAGGTTCTCTCTCATTTTTGTACTCCTCGGTGCTCTGATCATCACATCAGTTCTGTTGCTTTTCCCCCGAGCTAGTGAATTCCCAGCCCCGGAGGTCGAAGTTAAGGTAAAGCTGTTGGTTTCATTTTGCCTCCTGAGTCGGAACTCTTGTTTCTCTTGGTCTACACCTCTGTCCTGCCCTCATTCCCTGTCATCAGGTTGCCTGAGATGTGTTAAAAGAATTGTCAAGTTCAAACAACTGTGGGGAAAGCTCAGAGGGAGTTCTAAATTCCCTGCCCTTCACTCAGGAAAAGAATCTTACCCTGAATTCCACCTGCACCCCCACCAGGCAGTTATTTGCTTGATTCTGTCTCATCTCCAGTTTGCATCAAGCTGAACGACAATGTGTTGAAAAGCCACCCCACACCACGGGGACAGAAAAAGAGAAAATGAGATAGGAATAGGAATAGGCCTACTCCTAAGATGGAAGTGTTCCCATTCCTGGTAGCCTTGGCTCAGAACCTCAGATCCTGGGCCAAAATTGATGCAGTGCCCTCAGGGTGCTGAATGACATGCTTTGCCAACTCCATGTGGCGCACTTTTTAGTTTTGTGATGTGGAGAGAATAATTTCCAAAGAGAAGAACGGTGGGGAAAGAAAGAGGACATTTCTATGGAAAGCCAAAGTTGGTAGATCTAGATGAATTCAATCCTAACAGTCTTCCAGGAACTCCTTTGGTGCTCATTCCTGGGGCCATGCCTGCCAGCACTCCCCTCTCTTTAGGTGGATTTTTATCATCTCTCTCATAGTCCTGATTTGGGGCTCTGGCTTCACCCTACATGGCTGATCTCAGAGTCGTAGGATCTCGACAGTGGTATTGACCTCTTCTTCTGTCCCATTACTCCTTCTCCCAGCTTTTTTTCTTTATTGTCAATATTTTAAGTATTAATAGTAGTCATAATAGCTAACATTTTTTAAGGGATTGCTGCATGCCAGGTCCTGTACTAAGCACATTGCTTACATTATCTCATTTAAACCTCAGGACAACCCTATGTAGTATGAAGTAGGTACGATTTTTATCCCCATTTTATCGGTAAGAACACCAAGGCTATAAGAGGTTAAGGCAACTTGCCCAAGGTTATACATACGTTGCAAGAGGCATAGCAGGGATTCAAGCTGAGGTCTGTCTTCAAAATCTTCATAGCTGGGGACATAACAGAATATCAGAGGCCATTCCAGAGAGCTCATGGGTTACCATCTTGACACTAGACAACAAAAGTACATAAAATTATATAAATTTTGAACTAAAATTGACATATAACTCTATCTAGGACTAACCAGGGCAAAAGGAAGGAAAATAGTTTTGAAAACTCCAAGGGAAATAATACTTATCACACACATTTAAGGAATTACTTCCATAGATTCCAGGTTTTTTGTCAGCATTTGGAAACCACTCTGAAGGTCTAAGTACCACGTGTCTGATCCAGGGGTAAATTCCTGCCTCAGTTTCCTTGCCTTTTAAGGGGGGATTGTGCTGTAGGCTGCTGTATTTCTGGATGCCACAGATGTGAGTATTGGAAGCAGGGCACAGAGCAAACACAGTTTTTAATCAATCCCTCAGTTCTGTTTCATACGAGTTCCAGACCCAGGAGAGAAGAATGGGGCTTGAGAGAAACGTGTTCGTCGGCATGGCCAGCAGAATTGGAGTTCTCATTTTCAGGTTTTGAGAGCTGGCCCCTGCAGCAGCCTGTCTCAGTCCTGTATCAATAATACATGGCCTGGGCCTTCTGCACCCAAGGCCCGCTAATTGGCTAATTAAAAAGTGAAGCGTGTTGAACGAGCAAACATGTAGCCCGCAAGAGACATGTTCTGTACAGGAGCCAAGGTCAAAGTTATGTTAAAGCTGTTTTATCAAGCTGACCTTTGTTGTAAGTTGACTGTTGGGGTAATCTCTGGAGCAGCTAAGGTGTCTGCAGCCTTTTTCTTCTTGGTGTCTTTGGATCTCAGTGATCATACCAGTACTGGGACTTGATAGGTGCTGTGTGTTTAACTGCTGTATTAGTTTTCTATTGCTGCTGTAACAAATTACTGCAAACGTAGTAGCTCACAACACACATATGTCATCTTAAAGTTCTGTAGATTAGACGTCCAAAATCAGTCTCACGGGGCTAAAATTGAAGGGGTTGTCAGAGCTGCATTCTTCTGGAGGTTTTAGGGGAGAATTCATTTCCTTACCTTTTCCAGCTTCTAGAGGCTGCCTGTATTCCTTGGCTCACGGCCGCCTTCCTCCGTCTTCAAAGCCAGCGATGTAACAACTCACTGAGGCTGCTCTCATCCTTTTTTCCGAGCCCCAAAATGGAGGCTTAAAGATGTTAATTGACTCCATCTCTTTCTCTGACCCTCTCTTCTGCCTCCCTATTCAACTTTTAGAGACCTTTGTGATTACATTGGATCTATCTGGATTAGATAATCCAGCCTAATCTCTATTTTAAGGTCAGATGATTAACAACCTTAAGTCCATCTGCAACCTTAATTCCCCTTTACCATATAATCAACATATTCACAATTTCTGGGTAGGATGTGGACATCTTTGGGCCATTATTCTGTCTACCACAATCACCTTTCAGGTATTTTGGATTCTCTTATAAGTACTGGGTTTTCAAAGCTTCTGTGAAGTCAGTCAGTCACCTGATTTGTGTTGCTTCTCCATTAGGTCTGTCAATTAAATTGCTTTTTCCTGCCCACATTTAAGCACCACTATTTGAATCTGGGGAGAGTGGAGCTCTGGAAATGGACAGTAGACAAGTGGATAGAGCCAACATCGGTTATAGGCTTTTGTTGGCAAAGGCCAACAGCTTTGGGGCCTCAAGTATAAGGCCAGGCAGCCAGCTGTATGATTTGGGGCAAGTTACCTATCCTCTTAGTGTTTTAGTATCTCAGGTAAATGACTATTTTCCTATCCCTTGGAAAGTTAGGATTCAAAATTCTTCTGATGAAAGCTTTAAAGAGCTACCTTTTCATTTTGAAAATGAACTCTCCTAAATTGACAGTGGGTTGATGATTTGGGGGGTTGGGTCTGAGGTACATGAGGGTTTATTATACTATTATATTTGTATGTTTAAAATTATTCATAACTAAAAGTGTTTAACAACAACAAAAATGAGCCTTTCTTGAACCAAGAAAAAGCTTCTCATTAACTCTTTCAAATAACAGATTTCAAAACATAAAAGAATTCATTCAGGGACTTCAAGGGTTTATGAACCTCCTAAATTGAGCCATTTGTTCCCTGTACCTCATTAATCCTTTCTTTACCTTATGTTTCCTGCT